TGCTTCTGGGACACGCCTGAAAATTTCCACAGCGCGGCTGCTTGGAATCATCCCCATAGACGATGAAACGTTAAGGAGCAGCTACATATGTAACAAATGATCATTAAGTTATGATGATTCCATAAACAAATATGAAACATCGACCTGATTGATCTTTGAATGTTTAATCATGGAGTCCATTTGAAGCTGTAACATTCCGCTGCCTTTCTACGTTGCTGATGCTTCCAGTGTGAAATAGGGGTAACTTCCTGATATTCGGTTAATAGCAACGCAACTCCACCCACTGACTCTGTTTGCTCTGCAACTCTGATGTTTTAACTCCACAAATAATACAAGCCTGAAGGAGTTCTACCCTGTTGTGTAGTTGCTAATGCTAATTGTTAGCCTACTAGCCGAGACATGCTTTGATGTTTTCTGGACGCTAAACCAACAACAGCCTTCCTCGTCACAAGCCAAGATGGGTGAGTCCATGAATGTTAAGTGACAGTGTAACATAGATCTGTCAGGCTTTTCAAATTGTAGATTTTCACCATCTATTTTCTATCAGAAGCTAATGCAGGAGATCGGTGTAGGAGACCGAATGCATGTTAAACTCAGTGACAAATTATAAACATAAAATCTTCTATGGATGTTCTGTGAAGTTGTGTGTGTGTGTGTGTGTGTGTGTGTGTGTGTGTGTGTGTGTTTCATAATCATTTCCTCATCTCATATATGTACTAAAATTGTTACATAAACCCAAAACAGCAGTCACTAATGCATAAAAGTGGATCGATATGAGTATATGTTGTTTTTGTTCTCATTTTGCACAAACTTTTTGTTTTGTGTGGTCGCTGTTGATGCAAAATAAACACTCTTTCAATTCAGTACTTTGAAACTAGAGAGAGGTGAAAGTCTGCTAAAAGGGTCGTTTTATGCAAAAACACAAGAACAATTACAGAAAAGTATTAACTTCTTGCTCAGCAAGGACATTTTTAGTATTGAATATCTGACAGAATTACCTCAAATTAATCTTGAATATTTCTCATGATTTAATTCCAACACTACATTTTCACCAGTTTTCTCACATTTTAGACATCAATAAAGCAGATTTGAGCAGCAGCTGTTTACATTTTCTTGTTTTGATGCCAACCATTAAAACAAAGTTGAATTAGATATTGACTGCTGGTTTGAGGAAAGACTGATTCAGCTGAGTAAAGACAAACAGCTTTAGGCTCCAGACACCCACATTACCAGTGTGTGTTCCTTCCTGCTCTCCCTCCCCCTCTCTCTCTCTCTCTCTCTCTCTCTCTCTCTCTCTCTCTCTCTCTCTCTCTCTCTCTCTCTCTCTCTCTCTCTCTCTCTCTCTCTCTCTCTCTCTCTCTCTCTCTCTCTCTCTCTCTCTCTCTCTCTCTCTCTCTCTCTCTCTCTCTCCTGTGAATTATTAAAGGGGCAATCATCTCAGATTAAATTCATTCAGGAGATAAATGGCTTTTAATGCAAAGCAGTGAGAAATGTACTTCCTGGTGATAGAGGATATTCCTCAGGCCAGAGAAGAACAGCTTTTCTGTTTCCTTCAGCGAAACTTTAAGGGTGAGAAACAGCTGTTAAGAAAAAGGCTGTGTGATAAATAACAGTAAGTATGTTATATGGAAGTAAATATGGAAGTTTGAGGGAAATTGAATATAAAAAATTTAAGATCATTTGGTTAGGGCAAGTTTCTTTAAACCCCTAAAAATACAGCGAAAATAACAACACTGGCAAAAACATTATCACCTACCGTTTATCTTTTTGTGGTGGAAGACTCTTTGTAAAAAATCGTATTTATGCCTGTTCTGTTACAGTAGTCATAAAATATGTAACAATTTAATAAAAAGTTGAATGAAAAAATAACTCCACTGGGTGTTTAGAGGTGTGCAGAATGAAGGTTAAATGTTATTTTAAAATTTAGATCTTAATTAAAAAACAATCAAACATTTATTTTGATGGGCCTGACACTCAGTTTATAGCTGCCAGTCAATAGAGGGCCCCGTTGCGGGTTACCAAACAGGCCGCTCAGCACAGCGAGGCTGACTCTGTGGAAAACGTTGGACTCTGCAAGTCAAGCAGCTGCTTCTGAGCCCAGAAGATGTTGTTATCCTTCTCAGAAGAGGAGCGACCAGAAAAGATCTAAAACCAGAGTGGGTTTAGGTGAAGCCGACAACAGATCAACCCAAATAAAAAATGTCACGCATCAGCAGTGAACCTGGTATCTTTTGGCTGGAAACTTTGTTCTATTCTTGCAACTACAACCTCTACACACTAGATGTCGCTTTGGTGTTCGTGTTCCACCTTTGAGAAAAACAAATTCAGTAATTGTGAAGCAGCATCAGAAAAAGTGGGGTAAGAGTGATTTAGTCCCTCATTTTGAGACTTAAATTAACATTTAATGTTTATGAATTTTCATCTTCTCATAAATGCTGTTTACACACCTCACAACACATGAACACAAATTTGGGTGTTTCTTTTACTCTGCAAAGAATAAAACGTTAAACGGTGTTTATTCTGATCCTCAGAGAGAGGGAGAGAGAGAGAGAGAGAGCGAGAGAGAGAGAGAGAGCGAGAGAGAGAGAGAGAGAGAGAGAGAGATAGCAGATACACGCTTTTCCTCCAACTTCAGTTAAACACAGTGTGACTAACCTTCATGTAACACCATTCATATTTTATCAGTAAGATTTAGCAGCTAAACACTCCTGGATGAGCTGATAGTTCACTCATTAAAGTTTCACCATAGTTGGAAATGTTCGTCCAGCAGGTCAGGTGAAACACTCCAGCTGACAGAGAGATTGTAACAGATCTGAGGTTAGTCTGGGAATAAAACGTAAGAGGATCTATGGGGGAAGGAAACATGCTCTAGCCACACGCAAACACTAAACTATAGCTCCAGTCACAAAGGAGATTATTGGTTATTAGACAGAAATCAGGTCAAGAAGAAAGTTTTTTAAAGATTAACGAAGCTTGTTTTTAACCCAGTTTTAACATTATTCTCTTTAACATCAGAAATAGCATCTGCATTTGGCTGCAAGCATGTTTATCAATGTATGAAAGAGAATAAACTAATATGTAGAGCTTAAAAAATGTAAACAAAAGTGCTTTATGTGAGGCTGTGTCAATGGGAAGCAAAGTTTTTACAGCTTTATGTTTGTACAAACTGTTTGTTAGTGGTCTCTAATAGGACTTAATTCCTTGTAAATCGTAATCTGGGGAAACAAAGCTCCGTTGAGCCTGTTTCAGGAAGTAGAAGTGAGCTAACATCAGAGTTACCTTCTACTAGCTGAGACGTTCTCTGCTGTTTCCTGAATGCTAAACCAACAACGGCCTTCCCTGTCATTAGTCAAGATGTGTGCATGAATGTTAAGTGACAGTCTCAGCAAATATGTCTGTTTGGGACCCATGTGAGATAATTCTGGGCAAAAACTTGGCCCATGAAGGGTTGCCCACTGTAGCCCTCATGTGCCATGCATTTCACAGTGGTACCCTGGCCCTCACATAGGCTTCCCACTATGGCCCCACTGTGGCTCACTGCTGTATGCAAGTCATTGATCACAAACCTTTGTGCCCAAAGGCTTTCCAGCTCTTTGTATTGGAGGGGGATCCAGCGCTCCTGTGCCAGTTATAGCATAGGTCTACGGTAAATATTGCTGTGCCCAAAACGGAACAGGAAATATGTCACAAGCAGGGGCGGCGTTAGGCCCGGCTACTTGGGCTGAAGCCCCGGATGTTTCATAGAAAGCCCCGGATCTAAATCGCGGAAGTAACATGCAGTACCAAAGTCCAACAGAGAGGGAGCAGCTGGCAGTAGTTTGTATACAGCCTGCCTGAGCCTCCACCACTGAAGAAGAAGCCCTTCAGCAGCCGGCTTCTTCTACACTCTCTGCCTGAAATGCATGAGTGAAGATGGACATAAGCACGTTTTTTAGACCAAAAGTACGGCGACAGAACCCCAGCTTTGATGAGACTGGTGTTGACTCAGGTTTGTGAGTCTTATTTGAAAATATTTGTTGTGCTGATGGTTTGCCTAAAGTTAGCTTACTATCAATGTGAAGAGTGACATGTTTCTTGAATAATAAACCCCGGTTGACCCCTGAGCTAAAATCTATGCTGAACGATAAGAAAAAAGCTTTCATGGAGTGGACAAACATCGGACTGCATGGACCATCAACTACCTCACCAACAGGCTACAGTACGTGAAGCTTCACGACTGTATGTCTGAGGTGGTTGTGTGCAGTACTGGAGCTCCACAGGTATGGAGCTCTCACCCTTTCTTCACCTTCCACACCTCGGACTTCACCTACAACACCAGAAGCTGTCACGTCCAGATGTTCTCTGATGACTCGGCCATTGTTGGCTGTGTGTCCGGAGCAAATGACCTGGAGTAGAGGTCAGTCATCATGGACTTTGTGGACTGGTGTAAGCGTAACCACCTTCACTTGAACACCAATACAATACATAGATACATAGTATGCTGCATAGTTCTGGAACCCAAATTTCCTATTTGGTTTTTTAGTGGTCAGTGTTTACAATATTAGCTTACTGCCCATGTGAAAATGTGTGTACTTTTGTTATTATTTCATTTCTTCTAATTATTCTCTAAGTGTATGTGCTGCTGTAACAAGTGAATATCTCCACTGTGGGGTCAATAACATGGATTATATTCTATTCTACTGCAGGAGATACGTGTATTTTCATTTTCAGCTGCAAGAAAGGCTCAGTGACAGATTATAACGAGGAATAATTTCAAAAATGTTTTTTTCAGTGATTCACACCATTCAAGATTCACACGATTCCCAGCAGCTTCCTGCAGTAAATATTTTACATGTTTATACCCACAGTGTCTTACATACTAAATTATTCTACACCAACATGTGTTTTAATCAGAAATATGCAAAGCCTAAATGAAGGATTTTTATTTTATTTTATTATAAAGATATGTAGAATTGTTCATCTGCTTCTGAAGTTGGCAATAAAATGTCATGATGTTGACATCAAATTTACTCTGTGTACTTTTATTAAAATATGTTAGTCACTTCCACAGAACAAGAATGCAATGAAACAGACATTGAGGTGATCATGAACCAGTTTGGCTTGTTATATGGACAAAATAAAACACAATGCTTCACAATACTTCTGTATATATATATATATATAAGTTATTCCGCCCCAAATCCCTTTACAAAGAATTGTTCTCCTCAAGCACATACATGATAGCACCATGATGAGTTACACTCCTGTATACAGCAATCAGCCACAACAATAAAACCACCATCCTGATGTTGTTTAGGTCAGATCCAACAAGTCAGTTTCTGGTCTGTTTTCCCAGGTCCTTCATTAAATCTACATCTGGGCATTTAGCAGTTCTGTTAGGCACTTTCTCCTCTTTGGCTCCTGTTCAGGCCCGATATTAACAATTCATCCTGACCGAATTGGTCACAAGTTCACTCCCAGCATTAAAATTCAAATATACACTCTAATAAATGAAATGTTTAATAAATTTAACCTAATTATTTCCACTGGTTCCTTTAAACCTAATTGACTGAATATAAAGAGTAATATACACTGTTACATGTTGATATGTTGAAAGTAAATGTACATTAGTTTTTACATTTAAGTAACTAGGTTTAGTGGAACTAATTGACACCAGTTGGTTAAAGCCAAGGGTGTTTATTAAAAGTGGTGAGGACGTCATACACAAATGTGAGTGTGGCTTGAAGACTAGTGGGGACAATCATTTTTAACTAGTTTGAAATAAGTATGTGTTTGTTAGATATTTTATTGCAATATGCACTGCAGTAGGGACAGGTTTTTAAAATTGGAGCTTAGTTTAATAAAATAAAGTTAAAACATTGGAATTGAACCCAATTACAAGACAAGCACCGACTTAACCTGTGGTCCACAACAGCATTTAGAAATTTGCTTAGAAAAATAGCCATAAAATAATAGGTACCTTACCCGTGTCAGGTTTCTGTTAGCTCCGTATTCCCTCGTCAGAGTCAAGTAGTCACAGTCTCTTAGTAGGACCGTCCGAGAGGGAAAAACATGGAATCGATGTCCAACAAAACTGTGCTGTAAGTTTAGCCCTCACAGTAAAACTGACACCAAATGACTCATTTCATCATGTTTGATATTAACCTAAAGTTTAGGTTAGCTAACGCGGTAGCTGGTGTTCACGTCTACCGCATTATCTGGGTGCTTCAGCACGATTAGACTCAGTTCGTCTTCAGCAAAACTAACGTGTTTACATTGATATTAGAAAAACAACATCGGTCTATTTAGGGCAACAGTTTCGTTTTCTGATGAGCATGTAAGACAGTGAACTAGCGAAACCATGACTGAAACAGGCATGGTTTGAAAATAATTTATTTCTGTGATTGAGAGAAATCCCATGAGCGAGTGCCTGGTGGCCGGGCTTTCGCCCATGGAGCCCGGCTGGGCCCAGCCCGAACTGGATACATGGGCTCAGCCAACTGTGGACCCACCACCCGCTGGAGGAACATGAAGGGTCCGGTGCAGTGTGGATCGGGTGGTGGACCGAGGTGGGAGCCTTGGCGGTCCGATCCCCGGACAAGGAAACTGGTTATTGGGACATGGAACATCACCTCGCTGGTGGGGAAGGAGCAGGAGCTTGTGGCAGAGGTTGAGAGGTACCGGATAGATATAGTCAGACTCACCTCGACACATAGCATTGGCTCTGGAACCCGAGTCCTTGAGAGGGGTTGGACACTCTCCTTTGCTGGAGTTGCTCCGGGTGAGAGGCGGAGGGCTGGGGTTGGCTTTTTGTTAGCCCCAAGACTCTCTGCCTGTGTGTTGGGGTTTACCCCAGGGGATGAGAGGGTAGCTTCCCTGCGCCTTCGGGTCAGGGAACGGGTCCTGACTGTTGTTTGTGCTTGTGCGCCAAATATCAGTTCAGATTTCCCATCCTTTTTGGAGTCCCTGGGATGAGTGCTAGATAGTGCTCCATCAGGGGACTCCATTGTCTTGCAGGGGGACTTCAATGCTCATGTGGGCAATGATAGCATGACCTGGAGGGGTATGATTGGGAGGAACGGCCCGCCTGATCTGAACTTGAGTGGTGTTTCATTATTGGACTTCTGTGCAAGCCACAGTTTGGCCATAACGAACACCATGTTCGAGCATAAGGATGCTCATCGGTACACTTGGTACCAGGGCAGCCTAGCTCGCAGGTCCATGATAGACTTTGTAGTCGTATCATCTGACCTGCGGCCATATGTTTTGGACACCCGAGTGAAGAGAGGAGCGGAGCTGTCAACTGATCACCACCTGGTGGTGGGTTGGATCAAATGGCAGGGGAATATGCCGCGTAGGCCTGGCAGACCCAAATGCATAGTGAGGGTCTGCTGGGAATGCTTGGTAGAAGAACCTGTCAAGACGGTCTTCAACTCCCACCTCCGGCAGAGCTTTGACCTCGTCCCGAGAGCAGTGGGGGACATCGACTCCGAGTGGGCCTTGTTCCATTCTGCGATTGTTGAGGCGGCTGTTGCTAGCTGTGGTCGCAAGGTGGCCGGTGCCAGTCGTGGTGGCAACCCCTGTACCCGCTGGTGGACAGCAGAGGTTTGGGAAGCCATCAGGCTGAAGAAGGAGGCCTACAGGGCGTGGCTGATCTGTGGGGCTCCAGAGGCAGCAGATGGGTACCGGATAGCCAAGTGGGGTGCAGCAGTGGCAGTTGCCGAGACAAAATCTCGGGCGTGGGAGAAGTTTGGTGAGGCCATGGAGAAAGACTATCGATCAGCGCCAAAGAGGTTCTGGCAAACTGTCCGGCGCCTCAGGAGAGGGAGGCAGCAACTTGCTCACACAGTTTACAGTGGGGATGGGGAGCTGCTGACGTCAACTGGGGCTATAGTCGGACGGTGGAAGGAATACTTTGAGGAACTCCTCAATCCCACCTACGTGCATTCCAAGGAGGAGCCAGAGCCGGGAGACCTGGGGATGGACTGTCCAATCTCTGGGGCAGAAGTTGCTGCGGTAGTCAAACAACTACACAATGGCGGAGTCCCGGGGGTGGATGAGGTTCATCCTGGGTATCTCAAGGCTATGGATGTGGTAGGGCTGTCATGGTTGACACGTCTCTGCAACATTGTGTGGTCATCGGGGGGCAGTTCCTGTGGAGTGGCAGACGGGTGTGGTGGTCCCCATCTTTAAGAAGGGTGACCGGAGGGTGTGTTCCAACTATAGGGGGATCACACTCCTCAGCCTCCCTGGAAAGGTCTAGTCCAAGGTACTGGAGAGGAGGGTCCAATCGATAGTTGAATCTCAGATTGAGGAGGAGCAATATGGTTTTTGTCCTGGCCATGGAACTGTAGACCAGCTCTATACCCTTGCAAGGGTGATGGAGGGGGCATGGGAGTTTGCCCAACCAATCCACGTGTTTTGTGGATTTGGAGAAGGCTTATGACCGTGTCCCTAGGGGCACCCTGTGGGGGATGCTCCAGGAGTATGGGTTGGGTGGCCTTTTGTTAAGGGCCATTCAGTCCCTTTACCAGAGGAGCGTGAGTTTGGTCCGCATAGCCGGTAGTAAGTCGGACCTGTTCATGGTGAGGGTTGGCCAGGGCTGCCCTTTGTCACCGGTTCTGTTCATTACCTTTATGGACAGAATTTCTAGGCGCATTCGTGGTGTGGAGTATGTCAAGTTTGGTGGCAGGAGAATCTCGTCTCTGCTTTTTGCGGATGATGTGGTCCTCCTAGCTTCATCCAGCTCTGACCATCAGCTCTTGCTGGGTAGGTTCGTGGCCGAGTGTGAAGCGGCTGGGATGAGGATCAGCACCTCCAAATCTGAGACCATGGTTCTCGACCGGGAAAGGGTGGCTTGCCAACTCTGGGTCGGGAGAGAGGTCCTACCTCAAGTGAAGGAGTTTAAGTATCTTGGGGTCTTTTTCACGAGTGACGGTAGGAGGGGTCAGGAGATCGACAGGCGGATTGGTTCGACGTCTGCAGTGATGCGGACGCTGAGCCAATCTGTCGTGGTGAAGAGGGAGCTGGGTAATGACCAAAAGAACGAGATTGCGAATACAAGCGGCCGAAATGAGTTTCCTCCGTAGGGTGGCCGGGCTCAGCCTTAGAGATAGGGTGAGGAGCTCGGACATTCGAGGGGGGACTCGGAGTAGAACCACTGCTCCTCTGGATCGAAAGGAGTCAGTTGAGGTGGTTTGGGCATCTGGTCAGGATGTCTCCTGGACGCCTCCCTGGGGAGGTGTTTCAGGTATGTCCTGCCGTCAGGAGGCCCCCATGTCGACCCGGGACACGTTGGAGAGGTTACATCTCCAATCTGATCCCGGAATGCCTTGGGGTCCTGCCGGAGGAACTGGTGGAGGCGGCTGGGGAGAGGACAATCTGGAGCTCCCTAGTTGGGATGCTGCCCCCGCGACCTGGACCCAGATAAGCGAAGGAAGACGACGACGACGATTGGGAGAAATCAGGGCAGTAGGATGGCTTTTCTACCTGGGTCAAGATGAATTTGGATTAAAGTGTACCAAACCCTCAGTGCTCAGACCATCTGTCCTCAGTGTATTTTAAGAGCATTCACATCTGTATTTGGAGCTGTTCAAGCACGATCTAATCCCCCAGAACAGATGTTAGTGCCAGGTCTGAACAGGAACTATTTTATTCTCCATTACAGTTGGATGCTCTGTGGTATTTAGTTTTTTTCAGTAAAACATTCCTGTATAATCAAAGCTTATGGTGTCAGTGCAGTGGCTCATTGGTGTATTTTGTATAACATATAATTAAAACCACAAAATTACATCAACAAACAAAACGACAAAAACAAACTGAGGTTTGACAAAAACAAAGTGATATCGCTGTCTCGTGAATGAAAACACTTGCAAGAGCTGAGAGTTTGTGTTATCGCCATACTGGATAATCAGCACCCATCGGAGGTTTTAAAATGAGCACCTCTTGTTGTTAAGGACAAATGTGTGCAGCTGGAATAAAGCTGATGTTTCTGAATGTGTTAAAAAATAAATCACAGCATGTGAGTCCGCTGTAAGTTCAGTCTATGGAAGTCAGCACAGGCTGACAGACTTTGTGAACGTGTGAATGGAAGACTGGTAGTTTGGGATGAGAACATACCAGAGAACAGACGTCAACTCATAAATACTTCTACTGTAGTGTTCTCCCTGCATGTAAAAAGGTGTCCATGCCTCTTCTCTTTTTAAATTATCCCTGCAGTAGGTTCTCCTGCTCTCGTTACCCGTTGTAGCAAACCGGGCCAACCTGGAAACCAAATTTCTGGTTTCCTTTTCCAAAATCGGACACAGCTACATCGATGATGGGGAGCGTGTAGGACACTGGAGAGTCAAGCTCCAGTACCGTCCTCTCCTGCCCTGAGCGTGTCTGCACCAAAGACAATAAGACAAAGAGTGAGTGTGTTGATGTGTGTGTGAATGTGTGTAATGTGTGTGTGTGTGTTGCTCACCTGACACCCGTCGTACAACGCGCTGATGTAATGCGTGTTCTCCTGCGTGAGCTCCTCGCCGTTACTGCCTCTGAAGCGCAGTGCATGTTCGTAACTGTAGGAGGCGGTGTGCAGCCAAGCGGCCGAGTTCAGGCAGTGGTAGGTGAAAGTCTGCTTGGCTGTGGCGCTGAGCAGCTTCAGGAAGTTCAACTGGACTACATGGATGGAAACGCCATCCGTGGCTGAGTAGGAGAACTGGAGGAATGTTGCAGGAAAAATGCAACAGAGAAAATTATCAACTCAACCAGTTCTTGTGAGGACATTAAAAGGATCGTTCAGATGTTTATGTTCAGGTAATAGAAAGGAACAAAAAACATAGAGGTGTATTAAATCAATTTAGCATCAAACACAAGAAAATCCTGAATGTAGAGCCGTTTTGGGACAAAACGCTACCAAACCATCCTTATCGGTTGAATTGTGAAATTCCCACCAACCGAAGAGGGATCTCATATTTTTGAGAGAAACCAATCAACATGGCAGTCATGTTTTTGAACTGTGGGAGTACTTAGAGATAACCCACACAAACACAGGGAGAACATGCCAACTCCACACAGAAACACCCCAGGTTGGGATTGGAACCACAGACCTTTTTGCTGCAAGGCAACAGTGCTACTGTGCAGACTGTGTAAAAAAAAACGTTTCTCAGTTGCATAAAATAGCCATTTGCTAAATGGCATAAAACAACCCATGCGCTAAAAGCCAGGTACTTAATGCAAATTTGGGAAAACCTTTAAAAAATCTACAATCTCAAAATTCCCCTCAATAAACATTCTTTTGACACAATTAAGAATAAAAGCAACTCAGTTTTTACAAAATATGTTCAATGTGTATCTTGAGGGTCTGTTGTACAGAATTTCATCATAAAATTCAGGCTAAACACCAAAAATTGTCTAATATGTGTTAACAGTTTTTCACCAGAAACAACAAAGCAGACCCTAGACATCATTATGGCCAAACTGCTATTTTGGTTTAAGAAGTGTGAGTAGAAAGCATTTAAAATTTACTTTGGACTGAATGCGAAAGATGAATGAAAAATTGGTGAAATTTAGAATAAATGCATTTCAGATCTGACCAGCAGCCTTCTCTCTCAAGGAAACTACCGTCTCTTTGCTGTGAAACACATTTCCAGTCAATGCTTTTCCTGCATGCAGCACAACACTAAACTTCCAGAAAAAAAATGTTTATTTCTTCAAATTTCTCTGTCTTCAAACTTCAAATATTTTCTCTCCTGTTATTCAGGAAACGTGTGCTCCTCAGCCAACTGGAAATGTGACCACGCGGATGGACAACAAGCTCACTAATCGGTTAAGGCTTTTTGCACCAGCAATTTTCTCCATGGGAACAGCCAGCCAGTCTGAACAAACTACAGCTGAATCTGCCTCTTCACCTCCACCCCATTACTGCAGCCTTCCATTGCTCATCATCATACCTCTGAGTAGGACATAAAAACATTCAATACACCAGATATTCGTGTAAAAGAAAGTCATAACAAGGACACTATACCTGCTTCCCTTTCCTGAATTTACTGTACCAGGTGCCAGGATTTTCCCCCTTCCAGGCTGCTAGTTTCACCTGAATAAAAACAATAAATAAACAAAATCATGAAGATTACAGAATCAGTAAACAAGTGATGAGTAAACTGGTATTTGGTGGCGTCTGTTTGAACGGACCGACTGGAACTTGCTGTCTGGGTGCAGACACGTTTCTCCCTGAGCAGTAAAGTTGCAGAAAACCTTAAAAGAGTCTCTATGGCAACCCTGGTTGGGATCTATCCAATAGTCACCTGAAGAGATTTATCAAAAAGAAGGTGCAAAGGAGCTCAGACAAATCCAGTTAATTAAAACTGACAGGTGTGAAACACAGAAGACATAAACTGATTGGATACCATTGGGGAGGTCTGGATGGAGGAGCCAGAGCTCCTTACAGGTGCGGGCGGGGCTGAGGTATGTCCCCTGTGGGTTACGCAGTCCTTCTACCTCCACTTTTATGGATGAAAGGGACGCAAACACCTCCTCCATGCCCTGACCATCATTATCCTTCATCCAACCTTCCTGCTCCGCCTGGTCGCCTTGTATCCATCCCTCCTCTCCTCCACCTATGGCTTCCTGCACCTCGTTTTCCAGTGCAGCACCATCCACCACAGCATGCGTTCTTCTTCTCCTTCCTCGCTCTGGCAGAGGTGCAATCCCAATCGCTGGACGTCCCTGAAACAAGGAAAAAAGATAAGGAGCAATGATCAAAACAGACGCGTCATTTAAAGCAGCAAAAAGAATGTAGAAAATAACTAACAGACCACGTTCACTTGTTTTTTCAACACATTTGTGTGGCCTTTAGTATAAATGAATGCCTTGTGAGTTGATCTCTGTGGGAAAGAAGCTCTGGCGCTTCTGTTTCAGAAACTTTAGGTTACTGTCGTAACCCCGGTTCTCTGAGTAACATGAGTGAGATGTCTCACTATGGGATACGCCCCTCCGCGGATTCCTCAGAAGCACTTATCTCAATACGCCAATCCTGATTGGCCAGTGACCGTGACGTACGCGTCCCCCTGCTACTATAAGTAGCAAGCGTCCCCACGCACGCACTATTCAAGATAAACACCTCTTCTCGCTTCGCCCAGCAAGAAGGGTTGTCTGGTGAGACATCTCACTCATGTTACTCAGAGAACCGGGGTTACGACAGTAACCTAAAGTTCTCTTTCTTAACATTCGTTTCGATGTCTTACTATGGGATATGGAGACTCCCGTATTGCCAGACAGCTTATCCAGCGATCACCAACCTACAGGGATACGTCTTGGCCCACCAAAGACCCCACACTCAGAATCGTGTGAGTCATTGCAGGGACCGAAACATCAAGCTTATAGAAGCATGCAAATGCAAGTGGAGAAGCCCAACTTGCTGCAGCACAAATCTCCTGGATTGACAGCCCCCGAAAAAGGGCCCAAGAAGCAGACAGGCCCCTAGTAGAATGGGCCCTGAGCCCAACAGGAGCCTGAATGCCCTGACAGGAGTAAGCCATAGAAATAGCCTCCACAATCCAGTGGGAAAGCCGCTGCTTTGTGACGGGTTTCCCCTTACGAGGCCCACCCCATGACACAAAAAGCTGGTCCCCCCTGCGAAGGTTCTCCGTCCGATTCACATACTCCTTGAGCGCGCGAATCGGACACAGCTTGTGCCACCGCTCCTCCTCAGGAGAGGAGAAGGGTGGCGGGTAGAAAGCTGTGAGGATAATAGGAGAAAAGGAGCCCACCACCTTAGGCACAAAGGCAGGGTTGGGCTTCAGGGACACCTTCATGTCACCGGGTGCAAACTGGGTGCAGGATGGGTGCACAGAGAGAGCCTGTAAGTCACTAACTCGCTTTGCAGATACCAAAGCCAGGAGTAGCACCACCTTAAGAGACAGGATCTTAAGGTCCAGGCCGTCCATAGGTTCAAATGGAGGCCTGGAGAGGGCCGACAGCACCAAGGACAGATCCCATGAGGGCACCAGGGGTCGAGACACAGGGAGAAGCCTGCGCGCGCCCCTCATGAAGCTACACACCAGGGGGTGTTGACCTGCCAGTTTCTTCCCAAAACCCAAGTGTCGGGCGGAAATGGTTGCTAGGTACACTTTAATGGTGGAGAAAGCCTTCTTCCCATCCAACAAGTCTTGCAGGAAAGACAGAATGACGTTCACTGGGCATTGGAAGGGTGAGACCTCCCTGCCCTGACACCAGGCTTCAAACACCCTCCATTTACAGTCATATAGGGACCTAGTGGAGGGGGCCCTAGCATTCTGAATGGTTCGAATGACTGCCTGGGGCAGCTCTGCTGACACTAGCCCGCACCCCTCAGGGGCCAGGCCCACAGGGCCAGCCGTTCTGGATGAGGGTGGAAGATCGAGCCTCCCGCTTGGGACATCAGGTCCCTGCGAAGCGGAAGTTTCCAAGGTTGGCCCTCCAGGAGCTGGAAAATGTCCGCCACCCAATGCATGGCTGGCCAGTATGGGGCCACCAGAATGAGAGTGTGGAGCTGGGTTCGTACCCTCAGCAAGGTGGGTGGTATCAGGGCCACTGGGGGAAAAGCGTAAAGCAGTCCCCGTGGCCAGTCGTGCGCCAGCGCGTCCCCGCCGAGTGGAGCGTCTCGGTCGCGCAGAGGACAGTGAGCATTCTCCTTGGAGGCAAAAAGATCCACTACGGCTGTGCCGAACCGGATCCAAATCTGTTCCAACACTGCTGGATGCAGGCTCCAATCCCCGTACAGGGGTGTCCCTCTGGACAGCAGATACGCCCCCCGATTCAGAACACCCGGGACATGGGTGGCTCTGATTGAGAGGAGATGCCTGCTGCACCATAGGATCAGTCTGCGTGCCAGCGTGTGTAACCGCATGGAGCGCAGCCCCCCCTGGTGGTTTATATAAGCCACAGTCATGGTGTTGTCTGTTCTCACGAGGACATGATGGCCGGAGAGAAAAGGCAGGAAGCGCCTCAGGGCTAGAAAGACCGCGAGGAGTTCCAGATAATTTATGTGTGTCCCCCAGAGCTCTCTGCTCCACACACCCCTGACAGAGCGACCCTCCAGGAGCCCCCCCCAACCTGACAGGCTCGCATCTGTCGTGACCACTTTCCTCACGAGAACCAACCCCAAAGGCACCCCCTGTGCCAAGAGGGAGGGGTGACGCCAACAGCGGAGCGCCGCGACGCACGCTGCAGAGACCGTCACCCTGCGCGCTCTGTGGCGCACTGGAGAGAGACCCAGAGAAGCCACCCAGCGTTGAGAATCTCTCATGTGTAGACGGCCGAGTGGTACCACTGAAATAGCCGACGCCATGAGACCCAAAAGCCTGAGGCATAACGCAAACCGCGCCGAACTGTGTAGGCGGAAGCGCGCCAGGCAGAACGTTGGTTACGTATTGTAACCACAGATTCTATGAGTCTAGTCGCAGCCCTTAAGCGAGCTGCTATTGGAAGGGTGATCTCAGCATCAGCCAATCATGAAGAGCTTAAATGTACGCCCACCACGTGGGCACCCCTTGTGGGTTTTATAAGTGGAGCGACTCCACTGTTCGCCTCCGATGGCTCTTAGTCCTAACAGAACCAGTGTGGCCAAGTGGCTTAAGGGCTGCGACTAGACTCATAGAATCTGGGGTTACAATACGTAACCAACATTCTATTTCGTCTAGTCTTAGCCCTTAAGCGAGCTGCTATTGGAATAAAGCGCAGCTGGATGGGTTTACGCCACACTGGTTAGCTCAACCAATGGACACACCCAACATGTCTCCTTTTAGTGGGGGTCGCTCAGCCTCAGCCCAGGGCTTAAAAGGCTGAGGCAGCCAGAGAGAAGAGTGGGGCCACCACTAAAAAATATCATCCACAAGAGGATGAAATTCATTCAAGCAGGGCCGATGAGGTGCCATAATGCGTTCACTCAGCCTGCTGAGGTCCAAGCACTGAACGAGTGATGGATCCTGAAGACACATCTCGTAAATAAGAATGAGTAAAGGAACAGGGTGAAGCCCATGAAGCAGCCTGACAAATGACTTCCATTGACCCACCACTGTGGGGCGCCACAGAAGAGGAAATCCCTCTGGCTTAGTGAGCCCTGAGTGTCTCAGGAGGATCCAGCCCCAATGATGTGTAAGCGAGTGAACTGGCGTCACATAGCCAGAGTCAAAGGCGCTGGGCCAACAGCGCTTGCCCAAGGGAAGACTCCCTGTAGTGCACAAACATGATTTGTGAGCGGCGAATCCCTGAAGTGCGTGACACATATCGTGCGAGCGCGCGCACCGGGCAGAGAAGATGGGAAGCCGCCTTCTCCTCAGAATTATGGGGAGGAGGAAAAAGTCCAGCCAATGAAATTGACCTGGATTTGAAGGAAGTATTAATGTTTTTTGGGCACAAAGGCTGGGTTGGGGCATAAAACAGCAGACCCGCCATCTTTCCGGATCCTGAGGCATGCGGGAGCCACTGAGAGGGCGGTTTGGTCGCTCACTCTCGTGACTGATGCCAGTGCCAGCAGCAAGGCAGTTGTAAGTGACAGGAACATGAGTGAGACCTGGTCCAAGGGCTCAAATGGGGCTTCAGATAAGCCACGCAGAACCACCGTTAGATCCCACTGGGGAATTAGCGGACGGGACACAGGTCTGTTCCTTCTGACACCTTTTAGAAAACGTTTTGTGAGGGGATGATTGAAAACAGATCTATCACCAAAACCCTGGTGACAGGATGAGATAGCTGCAGCATATGTTTTAATAGTGCTGAATACGAGGCCCCTGTCCGTCCGTATCTGCAGAAACGATAGGACATCCGCCAGCTGGCAGGAGAGCGCTTGAACATTCCGCTCTGTGCCCCAGTTCTGGAAAGCTGCCCATTTAGCAGCGTAAGATGCAATGGTAGAGGGCGCCCGCGCACTCTGAATCGTGATGACCACATCATGCGGCAGCCCAGAAACCCCTAATCGAAACCGCTCATCGGCCAGACCCACAGCCGATGGCTTATTTCCGGAGGATGTCTGATTATCCCATCCGCCCGGGGAGGGGCGTCCTCCCTTCGCGGAAGTCTCCACGGGGAGCCGGACTCATGACTAACAGGGGTCTCACGATCTCGCGGGGCTGCACGCGGGAGATCACCGTGGTGAGATCTGCCGCTCTCACCGGCGACGAACGTGCTCTCATTAGAGAGGCGTTCAGCTCCCCCCCGAGAAACATAATCGACTGGGATGGAAGAACAGAGTTCTTCCCCCAGTTTATAGAAAACCCCAGGGTTGACAGATGCTCTGTTAACCTCCTGGTTTGCACTGATGCCCCGTCCTCGGACCGGGCGCATCGGAGCAGATCGTCCCGGTAAAATAAAACCCTGTTTCCGCCGTGCGCAGTGGCTGCAGCGCGGTCTCCGGACATTTGGAGAAAGTGCGCTGGGCTAGCGAGTAGCCGAAAGGGAGGCATTCGTGCGCGCGTTCCGACAGCGGACGTGTGCTCGAGGTCACGTGAGCAACGTCTGAGGATTGGTTTCGCGCCCTTACCGCCGTCGCTCGTACCAGAGAACTGGGAGCGACCCATGGAGGGCTGAGATCGAAAAAGCAAGTGTGAAACAGCTGGAAGAGGCTGATCCGCACCGCAGAGCGTGGAGTCCATGAAGGACGAGTGGGAGCCGGGCTCGTGCACGGGAACGTCAAAGTGCCAGCGGATGGAGCCGCGCAATGTGCGCGCTTTGCGCGTGGTCGCGACAGC